ATATATATAATATATATATATATATATATATAATCAGGGCGGGCCTGTGGTCTTTGCTGTTATGTGCTTGTGTGTCCTTCCTTTTAACGCCTGCCCACCTAAGAAGGGACTTTGGGTGTATGTAAACCTGCAACGCACTCAAAGCCCAGGGGAGAGTTCATTGCATCGCTGTAGCGATTCTTTCAATCAAATCTACAACTAGCCGCTTCTGCAGCTATATAGCTAGCCAAAAGTTAGACAGGAGCTAGGTAGCCCGCAGGACGACGCTAGCAGCACAGCTGCGCTGGTCCTGTTGCTTGCACGGAAATCCGTAACACAGCAAAGCGTTTAACCCTGTAGCAAGGGCTTTGGATTTAGAGGTTTGGTGATGCAACAGACAAAAATGCCGCTGGTTTGGCCTTCCTCCGCCGGAAACTGACAGCTGCTAGGTCTGGGCCTCCCATAACTGCCGCTGGTGCTGTGCGAAGATGGTCCGCTCCAGCAGCTGGGGTGCCTTGGCAGGTCCTGCATGCTTTCAAGACTGGAAGGCCTCGCTGGCCAGAACGCGTGACTCTCTAGAAACTCAAAAGCATCCTCAAACCCTCGGCAGGGGACCCCTGTGAGCGGGCACAACGGCTGGTCAGTCCCTTTCTCGGGCGTTGCAGGACCCTCCTGGTAAGTTTCTGCTGCGCTGGAGTACGCTGGGGACCCCTTGAAAACACCGGTGGCGCCGATGGGAGTATCCTTCAAAGGCCTCCGCTCGTCCTCCGAAACAGGAGCCCCAAGGGGGCCTTTATCATGGGTCGTCCCTTGGAAGCCCCCAGAAAGGGATGGCACATTGTGCTTTGTCTCATGGGCAAACACCTCAGGGTTTAGGGTTAAGGGATCTGAAGCGTTCTTGGAAATTCCGTTAGGCAAGCCTGAGGGGCGCTTGCCGTTCGGGGACCCTGTCAATATTGAGTTAGCTGGAGGGTACAGGAGACCCCTGCAGGGAATTGGGTACAGGAGGGCCCCATGTTGCAAAAGCAACTGCAAAACGGCGCCTTCGTTCTGCTGATGGTCGTTGCTACAGCTGCTGTACACTAGCAAACCACCAGGAGCCAGCAGCGCATACGCACGCTGCAGCAGCTGCTGCTGCAGCTGCAGCAGCTGCTGAAGGGATTGATGGTGCGGCTGCAGCTGCTGCTGGTCATCCTCCTCTTCACACTGAGCAACGCGGAAAACATCAGCGCCTGTATGCCCGGTAGCCTGTTGGGTGAAGGCCGGATCTACTGCAACGGACACTCCCTCCTGCTGCTGCTGAGGCTGGTGCTCGTTCTGCTGTTGCTGAGGCTGGTGCTCGTTCTGCTGTTGCTGAGGCTGGTGCTCGTTCTGCTGTTGCTGAGGCTGGTGTTCGTTCTGCTGTTGCTGAGGCTGGTGCTCGTTCTGCTGTTGCTGTAGGATAGCTTCGCGGAAGCGGGACAGGTGTCGAGTGCTGGCGTCATGGGTACACTGAACATCCAGCAGTACTCGATCAAACTCCGTTACTGGTGCTGATTCGCTGCTGCTGTTGCTCCTCCTCCTCCCGGTATGGCTACTAGTGTTGCTGCTTCTACTGGGTGCTGACAGGGCTTCCGGCTGTACACCGCTGTTATTTGGATACCCGCCCTCCCCAATTTCGCCGCTGCTGCTGCTGCTGCAGGGGTTACAGCTGCTGTCCTCGGCTACGTTGACTGCCGTCTTCTGTGCTACTGCTACGGTTGCTGCTGCTGCCGCCATGTCTTCACCCCCTTCTACTCCTGTACCTGAGGCACGCAGATTGCTGCTGTGGTTGCTGTCACTGTTTCTGCTGCCGCCAAAATGCTCTAGAAATGAGATGAGGGGGACTTCTTGGGCCTCCTGTCTTCTTCTCTCTTTCTTCCTCGCCAACCTTCCTTTTCTAACTCGTTCACTTGCTGCTGTAGTTGCTGCCGCATTTGCTGCTGCACTCATTGTGGCTGGGGAGCGTGATTCCAGGCCTGCGCCGCTGAAGCTATTTGTCTGAATAGTGCCGTAATTGGTGCTATTGCTCGTGCTGTTTCTGTTGATGGTACTACAGAGGCAGAAACTGCTAGTCCCGAATTCTCGGGCATCCCCCAGGACAAGGAGACCGCTGTTGCAACCGTTTTTCCTCAGCAGACGGCGGCAAAGCTCCATCCTCTCTGCATTGACGTCGACACCCACCACTACCCCACCTGTTGTTGCTGCTGCTTTTGTTGCTGTTGCTGGCGATTCTGCGGAAACTGCAGCAGCCAGTAGCAACAACTTGTTGCCAGGAGCGCAGCACATGTCGAGGCATTTGTTGCCAGGCCGAGGCCGCAGCGCAGCAACAGCGGCTGCAGAAGCAGCATCAAACGGGTGCAGCAGCTGCTGCCTATACACCTGAGACCCCGGGAAGCGCGATGCCGGAGGCAGCGAAAAAACGGCAGGAAAGTAACACGGCGATTCCAACCAGCAGCTACAGCAACTGCTGCTGTTGTTGCTGTTGTGGGTGTTGGTCAGCTGCTGTGCTGCAGCTCCTAGCAAGCTGCTAGGCAGCCACTGTTGCAGGACAGGAAGTTGCGGCAGCTGCATGTCCTGCTGAACCAATTGCAGCAGTCGCCGCAAGTACTGCCCATATGCCTCCGCATACGTTGCAGCGGCTGCGCTGTCGCTGCTGTTTCTGCAACATCTACCCGCAGTAGCAGCAACAGTAGCAGGAGCTTGCAAGTGCAGTGGGCAGGTCTCGGGCGAGAAGCGCGGCCGATAGCTGCTGGGGCGAAGACTCTCCACATATCTCAAGATGCACGCAGCACATAATTCTGTGCTGCAGCAGTAGCTGTTGCTGTTGCCGATGGCGCTGCTGCAGGTGCAGGTGAGAGCAGCTTGCTGCTGAGTAAGAGAGCCCAATCCCCTTCGATTGAGTGCTGGTGGAGGGAAGAAGCAGCAAAAGTACCGCGGCAGCTGCACATTCTTCTGCAGTTGCAGCTGCAGCGCACTGCTGTCGCCCTGCTGCGCTAGCAGGCCTGCCAGCGCTGGTGGGATGCTGCTACATTGCCTCCGACCTTTGCTCTTGCTGCTGCCACCGCTGTTTCCCTGGCATTCCATCCTGGCTCCGCCTGTCGCTACTACAATAGCTGCTTCTGTTGATGATAGTGTTCAAGTACCTAGTGCTGCTGCTACCGGTGTCGTTATAGTATCTGCTTCTACTACTGCTGTTCTAAAGCCAGCTGCTGCTGGTGCTGCTGTTACTGTTTCAGCTATCGCCCTCTCACCTTTCCGGTGGGGCTGAGTGTCTAAAGAACAGCACAACAGCAACAGCTGTAGCTGTAACCACGTGTTGCTGGTGCTGCAAAGTAGCAGGTACGGCTGCTGCTGCAACAAGATGCAGTAGCCCCCTCAAAATGAAGGGACAAAGTGGAAGAAAGGAGGAAGGAAAAATGTATTGACACAAAGGTATCGCTGGGTACTACTATACTAACTCAAACTGTTGCTATCGCTTGTGTTGTTACGGCGGTGTTAGACAAACGAGCTCCGGAAAAGAGTCATGGAGCAAGAAGTCTGTTTGACAAAATGCATCTCTACTACCACTATGGAGATGACTTGCTGCTGTTGCTGCTGTTTCTGCGGCTGCAGCGAAGCAGAGGCGAAGGCTGTGTTGGGGCCCCACATTTTAGGGAGCAGCCGGAGGAGTAGCAGAAACCGCAGCAGTAGCGGCGACAGCAGCAACAACTGTCGCAACATTTGTTTCAATTATAGCCTGTCTATGCCTAGAAAACACACTTTCGGGCGCCGTCACTCGCTGGGGGCCCCCAAGGCGCCGTGGTCCCGTCTGTCTCCTCTGGCAGCGGTTCGTGTGCACCGGAAACCTTAAACGCAAAACCCTTAACCCTAAACTGTAGATGGCGAAACCGTAAGCCGTAGCCTGAATTTATGCAAGCTAGGGGGTTGGGGTTTCGGACTTAGTATTTCGTTGCTGCCGCTGCTTCTGCAGCGCCGACGACGAGGTCGAATTGCTTCACGTTTGAGGGGTTTGGGCTTGGGGTCGGTTTAATAGCAACACAAACACCTCTTTTAAAGCTCGTAGGAGAAGCGAGGGGATGACGACGGGTGCAAAGTAAACAGAAGACACGAAAAAGTGGCGAGCTTCCTCCTATTCACCTTCATTGCCAGTCGTCGTGAGGTGTACAGTCACCCCAGGGCCTCAACTGGTCCTGACCAATGCTGCAGCAACAGAAGCAGCGGCAGGGGAGCCGCAGCTACAGCAGGAGCCGCAGCAACAACAGCAAGCAGCAGCAACCGCAATAGCAGCAGCGGCGGCAACAATGAGGCAAACCCCAACAGTAGCAACCTCCCCATTACGCACTTCCGACAATGCGCCGTTGCTATTGCTTTTAATCCTGCTGCTACTGCAGCTGTGTCAGCGCAGCTGCGGTGCACAAGAGCCCGCCCCTCAAGCTGGGGGCTATTTTGAAAGCCTAAGCACTCAGAAACAGCGCCAGCAGCAGCAAGAGCAGCAGCAGCAGCATGAAGCACCGGTAATATCGGACGAGTTGCTGCTGGATTTGCTGCATAGGGCGGAGGAGATCGCCAGGGGCCCCCCCGAGAGGCCCGTCGGGGGCTGGCAAGTTCTGGCAAAGAGCCCTCAGTGTATTGTCTATAGGAGACAGCGCAGAGGTACCCCTCTCAGCTCCTTTTCCCTGTCATCTTCTCTTCTAGATGCTCATCTCTCCTGTCCCTGTATCTCTTAACATATCCTTTCGGCACCTGGCTTTTATCACATTTCCATTCTCAGACCTGCTGCTGCACTGCTCGTATTACTGCTGCAGCTCCACGTGCACCAGCTGCTACTATGAATATTGCCTCTGCTGCGTCAGCCACTAGTGTACCTGCTGATTCTGCTGCTCTTGCTGCTTTTCCTGCTGCTGCTACCACTACAGGCATGCCTGATTACGAGTACGCGGTGCGGGGTCGCTTTGCAGACATCTCTGCTGCTGCTTATTTTTCTGCTCTCAACTCCCTTCCCCTCAGACGGTCTTGGGACTCTACTATTAAAGACATACAACTGCTGCAACTCAAGCAGGCGACACAGCCTCTTCCTCCTCCTTGTGGTGATCCTGCTGCTGCTGCTCACAGCACCAGCAGCTGCGGTTCTGAGCGTAGAGCTGCAGAAGCGGAGCAGGAGCTTTGTGTATATCCCACAGCGGAGGTCAGGGGGGCCTCTGGGGGCCCCCAGGTGTACCCTGTTGGAGGGCCGGAGTACGAAGAGTTAATCTATTGGCGTGTTGGTCTTCCCTGGCCTGCCAAAGACAGGGACTTTGTCTTTGCTCGCCGCCTGCGGGGCTACAAAACCACCACCAGCAACAGCAGCAGCAACCGCCTGCATGCACTGGTGTGCGGGCAGTTGCAGGCAGAGAGCGCTGAAGCACCTCCTTCCGATGAGGCGGTGCGGGTGGAGGCCTTCGAAGCAGCAATCGTCGCCTTCCCAGACAACGCAGAGCCTGGGGGTCCCTTGTCATTCAATGCAGGGGGTGCCTCGTCGGTCGCGCACGGGGACCCTTCGCTGCACCCTTACGGGGGCCCCGGGGGCCCCAGAGGAGGTGACCCAGAAGCGAACGGTGTCATATACGTGGCTCTGCACTATGACCGATCCAGGTATGAACTCTTGAAGCTCCTGTTTGGGGGTGGGGTTAGGTTTCAGAGGGCGCATGGAATTCAGGTGGAAGAGCTGGGGTTTGGAAGCTACTCAAAGTGGAGTACCGTTATCAACAGCAGCAGAAACTGCACCAGCATCGTCAGCAGCAGCAGCAGCTTGTGTATGCGTGTGCGTGCAGTTCTCCCGTTCCTTCCTGGTTGCGTTCTTACATTGCAGCCCACACGCTGCCTGCAACTATGAAGACTCTTCGAGAAAGTGCCTTGCGGCTGCTGTCTCCTTCAGGGGAAGTTCGAAACCCTCAGGAACTCCGGGGTCCTGGAGGGGCCCCTCTGACTTCCTATGACCTGCAGCTTCTCCAACAGCAGTTCAGAATACACAGTCCTCAGTGGAAACAGACCAAGAAGGGGCCCCCGGAGGGAGAGGGGCCCCAGGGGGGAGAGGGGCCCCAAGAGGAAGAGGGGACCAGGGGAAACGCGAAGTCGTCGCAGCTGCTCCGAGAAGCTGCAGTGCAGAGACACATCGAACAGCGGCAGCAGCAGCAGCAGCAGGCGGATGTTTTGTACGAGGCAGCTATCACCGCCTCAGGTCCAATATCTCCACCACCACCAGCAGCGGCAGAAGGCGTAGAGGAAGTCGCGATATATGGAGGCCTCAGTGGGGTTGACTTCTCCTTCGGGTCTCCCTCTGCGCGCCGCAGTGTGTGGACTCGCCTCCCCCCTCTCATTAGTGATGCGGAAACAGCTGCTACTGCACGCTGGGGACGCCCTGCTGCTGCAGCGGCTGCAACAAGAGGAGCCGCAGCAGAAGCAGCAGCAGATGCTGCAGCGTTTTTGCAGCAGTAGTTATGATGCAACAGTTTGTCTCTCAAGTAACACTGCGCCTCGCTCTCGTTGCTCCAGCAGCAAGATGGGTCCCCACTTTGTTTTCCTTTGAGAGGTTGGGAGACCCCTTTTCTTCCTTCTGAAGCGACTGTTGGGGATCCCCCAAGGAGGGGGCCAGCTCTTCGATTATTGGTGCACGGGTAGGGGACTCCTCTGCAACCGGGAAGGGAGGTCATTTTGTGGCTGTTGGTGTCTCGAGTATCCCATAGTGAGGGTGACACCCACATATATATATATATATA